TGTGGAGGTTAAGACAGAGTGTAGAAATTCCTGACTCAATGGCCCAGTAACTCTAACTCTTTCTTTAAAAATGAAAGCCTTTATTTTGTCTCTGAGGATTTCTATGCTATGATTGATTTTATAACGCTTTCTTTATTCAAACAGGAAAAACGTACACAAAGTTATGCACTCAGTTGTTCAGGGAACCCTAAAACTGTTAGAGGTCAGAAGTGTGAAACAATAAATGTTTACTGAAATACCTAATGGGATTAATTAACTTTGTACAATCACATTTCTATATTATCTATAGTTATTCTAAAATTATGCAATCATTAAAATATTTATAATAAATAATATGTAAACAGGTGAATAACGGTAAAGGCAAAAAGCAACAGACAAGATTATACAAATAGTTCTAATATATACATAAAAACCAAACTGTTTTGAATAGGAAAAAGGCTTGAGAAAAACACATCACAATATTAATAGTGATCACCTTTTGAGTAGTAAAAATGTGGGCTATTTTGTCATTTTCCTCCTTTTTTGGGGGTTTTCTCAAAATAGACTGTTTTAATACTTTTATAATAAAAAATAACTAATTTCTACATAGAAATTACATTTTGTTTTATGTCTTAAAAAAGAAAATAATTTTCTAGGCTGTTTATACATTAGATAGAGATGATGTGTTTATAAATGCATACATGCAAGAATAAAAACCTCACTTGGGGTGACAGAGATAGGACAATAAGTGGTTGTCCAAAATGCAGTAGTTTTTGACAGCATAGTTTCCTGAGAGAAAATTCAGGGGTGAAATGTGAAAGTATGTCAAAAAGAATTAAGTACAAGAAGCAGTTGTCATTCACTGTGCAGGACACTCACCTCCCATCGGTGTTATAATGCAGTTCCATCACTGCTCCACTGTGTCCTTTCAATGTAGCATAGTTGTCACAGTCACCAAAGACATTCCACAACACTGTTAGGGAGACAGGGGTTCTGTGAGCATTACTAGGCAAAAGAAAACTCATTATTGGCATGGAAAGAGTATTCAGGAATTCACTAGAACAACAGTTCTGAAATTATACTCCGTTGGAACACTATTAGTTCTATTAGCTAAATCAATTTTCCTCATATTAAAACAAAACTAATGCAGTATTTTCACATTTCATAAAATAAAACATTTTAGTTAATGGATATAATTTTTTAAATCTTAAGTGTTTTCTTCTGTACTTTTAAAAAAGTTGGCATTCACTGTTACTTGTCTGCTATGAGCAGAAGCAGACCGCAAAAATGATGGTACTTATGGGAAACTTAGGAAGCTGCATCTGACTTGAAGGTCACATGGCAATAACTTTTTACTACATTTACTCATTCCACACATAGCAAATACCTACGCTAGGTGCTGGGGTAAAATAAGGTAAATGAAGAGACAAAATTTCTATCCTTGGGGACCTTGGTCCAGCACAGACTGAAGTGTGATGAGCGTTACTGAGAAACACTCTATACATAATAAGGTACTTACAGCTACTTTTCTGCTGATAAAACTGTTTCTAGTTTGTTCGATGAAATTAAGCATATCAGTAATTCAAGAATGTTCTGCAAGGATTCCTAAGCCTTCCAGATACTTGGCCACCAGTAAGTTTAAGGACCATAGAACTAGAATACCTAAATCAAAACAGTGAAGACATCATTCAGCCTGAGGCACAGTTACAAGCAAAGAGCCAAATGACTCATTTCATCTCACAATTTGGCAAATGATGCCAGAGAAAAAAAAAGTCAGATGCTTCTGTTACCTCCTCTTTTGCTTTTTCTCATGACTTCCCCACTGTGATTTTTCCCCCCACTTATTTCCCCAAAAAGGGTATTCCTGACTAGTAGCTGAGAATCTGGTAACAGATCCTGATGATGGACAGGTAGATTATCCAGTGAGTTGCTACTTTAGGACAGATACACTCCTTCCTTCCCAAATGCTAAGATTCTGAGAGAATGGATCAAGAGAAGAGCCTCCTATCTTTGGGAAAAATAAAAGTTCTCTCTCTCCTCTTACTCCCATTAGCCTGTTAAGCCTAGATCTTCAGTCTTGCTAAATCAGCTCAAGATTTGCCTCCATGAGGAAGATTATTCTCAAACTAGATTCAACTCACTTTCCAACTGGTAGCATAATTCCTTTTGTATTTACCACATGGACCCAGAGGTCTATAACCAAAATCATTCAGCATTTTTATGACCCTATTTTAGCATGTTAGCTACATAGTTTGTTATGTGACCAACTCAAACTGATACCTTTTATGGCACTGAAGACTTTAAAAAATAATTACTATTTGGCAGAGATCAATTACTCAACTCAAAAACTATGCCTTACAAATCAGTCGGTCAAATCCTGCAGATGCTAAGGTGGATCCACTGGGGTGAAACTTGCAGCAATACACCTCCCCTTCATGTCCTGAAAGAAGCATGATTGGGGCTTGAAGAGAGGAACATCTTGGAGGCCCCTAAACAAAAGAGAGAAGTACATGGTAGTCACTACATTCAGGCAAAGGAGACTGAAAAATCGGGGAGTGGGGGGTGTAAGGATAAGATGAGGAAACAATGATTGAGTATATTTCTCCTGATTCAGAAAATGGCAACTCTTCTCACATAACTTATGTCTCCAATCTGACACTCTCCTGCTGAGGTTTCCGGTGTCTGTCTGTCATACTAACTCTCCTCCTCTCTCACTCTGCTCCTGTCCCATAGCCAACTTTTAATTGCTCAAACACATTAAACTCATTTCTGCCTTAGGATCTTTTACATCTGTCCCTGACAGTAACCCCCTTACCTCAGACCTTCCTGTGTGTGGCTCCTTTCAAATGTTTCCTTTTCAGAAAGTCTTTCTTCGATCACTCAAACTCAAGCAGCACCCCACCTCCCCTCTGCACTCCATCAACCCTACTGTATTTTCTCACAGCACTTATCATTACCTGAAATCACCTTCTTTATGTTTGTTTACATTTCGTCTCCCCTGCCCTGCCACTAGAAAAGCTCTGTGAGTACAGGAACCCTACCAGTGTCATTCAACACTGTTTTCTCAGACTCTAGTTCATTTAATGAATGAATGATTGAACTGAGCTTCCTGACAACCCTGCAGGGGACATATTATTAAGGAAAGTAGCTTTGATGGTCTTGGACACTAAGCCTAGGCCTGGGCAATTCACAGAAATCTGGGCTGATATTCTTACTTGTCAGACAGAAAAAGTACAGTATTAAAATCCCCAGAGCTCTTCAGTAGTTTCCAGCTTATTCATTTATTCAAAAAATACTATGAGCTGGGCACTGTTATAGCCACTGAAGAAACAGTATTGAACAAAATAAGCAATGGAGTTTATGTTCTAGTGGGAAGGAGAGACAGAAAGGAGGGAAGGCAGAAACAAGTAAAACATACAGATGTTGGAATGTGAAAAAACAAAGCAGCAATATGGATTAGTGAGTACAGGGTACTGCAATTTAAAATAGGCTGATCACTGAAAAAGTGGTATCTCAGCAGAGATTTGGAGGAGCTGAGTGTGTAAACCGTGTGGATATTTAGAGGAAGAATATTCCAGTAGAGGGAGCAGCAAATGCAAAGGCTCTGGGGTAGGAGCATGGAAGCCCGTGTGACTTGAACAGCATGAACAATAGAAAACTGGTAGATCAGAGATTGAGGGAAAGAGGGCCAAAGACTGTCAGGATTTTAGTTTTACTCTGAGTGAAGTAAAAAGCCATGGAAAGTTTTCAACAGAGGGTAACACAATTTGATGTTTAGGAGTCCTCCGGTTGCTGGATTGAGAACAGATTGAGCATCTGAGAATAGAAACAGGAAATCCATTTGGATTCTACTGTATTAATGCCAGATGAGATAATGGCTGAGGCCAGGAGCTAGTGATGGAGGTGGTAGAAGTGGTAACAAGGATGGATATATTTTCAGGAAGGTGTCAGCAGGATTTGCTGACTGGCTGGGAGAGGAGTTTAGGGAGGGGACATATTTCTTCATTTGAGTCCAACAACACAGAAGGAGAGGTGTAATCACTACTTCTATTTTACAAGAAATGTAGTTAAGGCAGGGATTCTGGGTTTAAAATCTGTTCCTATCACTTACTAGATAAGTCTGTTTCCCCATCTGAGAAATAGGATAATAACAACTCCTAACTCTTAGGCTGTTACCAAGTTTCATGGAGCTTTCATATACAAAGCACTTAGTACAGGGGCTCAATGAATGTTAACTACTTAGTGCAGAGAAACAGGGGAAAAGCAAGTTGCCCCAAGTCCCAAAGCTAGCCAGTATCGTTCATTTCCTTCCGTTCTTCCCTCATTCATTCATTCATCATCCACTCTACCAACTTTTCTTAACGTTTATTCTATGCAGGATCCCTAAAAGATTAAGGATGCGAAAGGTCCTTAATAATTCTAACGTCACCCCAAGTGGGCGGTCGAGACACTGAAAACGAGGGTCAAACGGGGAAACACATGGAGCATCGCAGTATATCGACAGCTTTTACAGTGTTTTTCTGCTTTAACTCCAGGTAGAATCTCGTTCCGTCCCCGCAGTGCCGGGAAAGGGCCAGTGCGGGATCACCCAGTGCACCGCTCTGAGGAGGAAGATGAGCTGAGGGCCGAAGGCCGCCTGCTCCTTCACTCACCGCTTGCAGCAAAGCTCCCGGCGCCGCCTGCTGCTGCCCGGCTCCGGGGCTCGACCCCGCTGCTCCCAACAGCAATTCATGCCGCTGCCGCTTGACTGGGACCAGCGGCAACTCTGGGCCCTTGCGCTTCTGCTGTTCTATCATGGCGGCAGCCGCTCTACTCAGACCGCCACTGACCGCGCCGACACCCTCAGGCACCACACGATTGGCTCGGACTTAATCTTTCCCCTAGAACTTCCGGCTTGGAGAAACCAATCGGCTTCCAACGCTCCCCTCTGCACTGCCCTTTGAGGAGTCTCCTGTTATTGGTCGGCTCTTTCAGACGTCACGAGAATACGATTCCAGGATTGGTGGATGGAGCTGGAGTCCCGCCTAGGCGCGCTGTGTCTTGTGGGTGGAAGCGCGCTGACTGGGTTTTGGCGTTTCGTGCAATGCTGCGGCCGGGAGACCTGACGCTGACACCGAGTAAGTGTGAGGCAGCTCGGGAGTGGGTGGCTGCGGGATCTGGAGGCGGCGCCTCCGTTATGTGGTCTTAGGCTGATCCTTCTCAGCTGCAGGTTTGATTGAAGGGACGGGGGTTGGGGGAGCAGGGGGCCCGAGAATTTAACTCCGGTGTGTAGTGGCCTCGATTCCCTTTCTCGGCTGGAGCAGAGCTTTAGCGTCTCTGCGGCTGCCTGGGGCCCTCGACAGCTGACTACTTCAACAGGCGCCTTCTGTGTCGAGCCCTTTGCCGGGCGCTCCCAGGGAGAAAAGGCCTGTTTCCCAGTTTCCACCAGGGTCCTCTCTGACTGAGGATGCCGACTTGTTTCTGCCATGATTCTGCAACTTTTTACTAGAGCCTGCTCAGTGCTTCTGAGAGAGACAGAGAAGAAGGAAATGCCCAACTCTTAGCCCCCAGAGCACAGTCTTTTTGAGAAATTCGGAGTGATGCCTGTGAACTAGGCCTTCTCCTTAATCGTCCAACTGATATTTGTTGTGCAAAGCGTCAGGGAGACATGGTGAACCAAACACGGTCCCTGACTTCAGGACTTTGAGTTCGGTGGGAAAAACAGATGCTCACCAATGATCTCAGTAAGAAATGCAAAGTAAGTGCTGCCTAGGGGAGGTGCCTGGTGTTATGAGTGCCTGAAATTAGCAGGAAGGCTTCTCTAAGGAAAGATGCCTGAACTGATAACTGAAGAGAATTCTGATTAGATGGATGAAGAGAAGAAGGCAGAGTATTCCATATAGAACAGCATGTACAGAGGCCCTGTAGCAAATGGAAGGAAAATGACTCAAAAGGCACAAAGAGGCCAGTGTGACCAGGGCAAAGAGAATGAAGGGGAGTGTGGTACAAGATGAAGCTGGAGGTGGTTAGAGGTCAGACTCTGTAGGACTTTGTAGCTTTTACTGTAAGACTGATGGGAAATCACTGAGAGTGTGTTTGCTTGTTTGTTTTGCAGGAGGAGGGGATGGTGTGGTGGGGGAAGCGGCTTGATCCCTCAGATTCAGGAGTATGAACAGATTGGAGGGGAGATAGATGCAGACAGACTACTTAGGTGAGAGTTGGTGGTGGTGAAGATTGAGGTATTGGTGGAAGTGAGGGCCAGATATTTCCTAGACTCCTTTGTACCTAAGATGAGAATTGAATATGGAACTGAGAGGAGGAGGGTGAGAGGCATCCTATTTTGCTGGCAAGTACAGTGGCAGAGGCAGTGAGTTTCTTTCTTTTTCTTTTTTTTTAAATTTATTATTGAGTTATAGTCATTTTACAATGTTGTGTCAAATCCCAGTGTAGACCACAATTTTTCAGTTATACATGAACATACATATATTCATTGTCACATTTTTTTTCACTGTGAGCTACCACAAGGTCTTGTATATATTTCCCTGTGCTATACAGTATAATCTTGTTTATCTATTCTACATATGCCTGTCTGAGTCTGTTTCTGTTTTCTATTTATGTTCTTTTCTGGCTTACTTCACTTAGAATGACATTCTCCAGGAACATCCATGTTTCTGCAAATGGCATTATGTTGTCGGTTTTTATGGCTGAATGGTATTCCATTGTATAAATATACCACCTCTTCTTTATCCAGTCATCTGTTGATGGACATTTAGGCTGTTTCCATGTCTTGGCTGTTGTAAATAGTGCTGCTATGAACATTGGGGTGCAGGTGTCATCCTGAAGTAGGGTTCCTTCTGGATATATGCCCAGGAGTGGGATTCCTGGATCCTATGGTAAGTCTATTCCTAGTCTTCTGAGGAATCTCCATACTGTTTCCCACAGTGGCTGCATCAAACTGCATTCACACCAGCAGTGTAGGAGGGTTCCCTTTTCTTCACAGGAGAGGCAGTTGTTTCTTAGTCGACAACATTTTGGTTTTAGTGACTTTCCGCAATGATAGCCATAACTTTATTTTTAATTGATCTTTAAAATAAAATTTTTTTATTGAATTATAGTTGATTTACAATGTTACGTTAGTTTCTGGTGTATAGCATAGTGATTCAATGATATATATATATATATATATGTATTCTTTTTCATTATAGGTTATTTCAAACTATTGAATATAGTTCCCTGTGCTATACAGTAGAACCTTGTTTATTCTGTATATAGTAGTTTGTACCTGCTAATCCCAAACTCCTACTTCATCCCTACCCCCCTTTCCCCTTTGTTAATCATAAGTTTTTTTTCTGTGTTTGTATCTTTCTGTTTTGTAAATAAGTTTATTTGTGTCATTTTTTAGATTCCATATATAAGTGATATCATATGATATTTGTCTTTGTCTGACTTACTTCGTATGATAATCTCTAGGTCCATCCATGTTGCTACAGATAGCATTATTTTGTTCTTTTTATGGCTGAGTAGTATCACATTGACTATATAAACCAAAACTTCTTTATCCAATCATCTGTTGTTGGGCATTTACGTTGCTTCCATGTATCTGCTATTGTAAATAGTGCTGCTATGAACATTGGGTTGCATGTATCTTTTCGAATCGGAGTATTCTCCAGATATATGCCCAGGAGTGGGATTGCTGGATTATATGGTAACTCTGTCTTTAGTTTCTTAAGGAATCTCCATACTGTTTTCCATAGTGGCTGCACCAAATTACATTCCCACCAACAGTGTAGGAGGGTTCCCCTTTCTCCACACCCTCTCCGGCATTTATCGTTTGTGGACTTTTTAATGTTGGCCATTCTGACTGATGTGAGATGATAATTTCATTGTAGTTTTGATTTGCATTTCTCTGATAATTAGCGATATTGAGCATCTTTTCATGTGCCTATTGGCCATCTGTATGTTTTCAATGGAGAAATGTCTGTTTAGGTCTTCTGCCCATTTTTGGATTGGGTTATTCTGTTGTTGTTATTGAGTTGTATGAGTTGTTTGTATATTCTGGATTTAAGCCCTTGTCAGTTGCATCATTTGCAAATATTGATCATGGCAAAGACTGTGTTATTTTGTGGGTTAGGAGTTGTTCCTGGGAAGTTCTACCAGTACTTCCTATAGCCCATCCGGTAATTTTGTAAGCCACATAATACCTGGCAATAAATCCCTTTCTGCTTAACCTAGCTAGAATGGGTTCCAGCATCTGCAACTGTACTCTATCAGGGTAGGGGTATTGCCAGTTAGGTGAGCTATAAAGACATTTAAGGGAACTTAGGTTACTGTTTAAATGATGAACTGTGGAATCGAAGCTGAATAGCGAAAAAAGTGAAGAAAAGGGAGAGGGCTAATAGATTGGAAGAAAGTAGAGGTCAATAGATTGGCATTCTAATGAGGTCAAAAAACAGTACTCTCTGCTGGAGGACCTCCATTTATCCTTAAAGGCCTCCTCAGTTGTCACTCTTTAAACTTCCTTGCTTCCCCCAGGCCCTTCTTCTCTTTGTTTTAATACTTCACTGATCATACTGTGTTGTGACTGGTCACTGTTATCCTTATATGACTAGGAAGTGTTTGAGGACAGGAATTGTGTTGAAAAGGATGGTTTACTGGCAAGTGGGTGTGGCTCTTGGAATGGCCTAAGATTTGTCTCTTTCTAGCTGTGAATTTTGGACTTCATTTCTTTAAAACAGAGATACTTTGTAGAATTGTTTTAAGGATTAAAAGGAGGTTTATGAAGTGCCTAGCACAGAGCCTGATACATAAACATCAATAAATGTGGTGAATTGATGAATTAACTATCAATAAAGTAAATAAAGTAAAATTAAGTACTTCAGTATTTCAGTAGAAGTTATGAATTTCTATGTGCTTTATACTGTGCTAGGCACTGAGAAATTCAAAGGATATGATGATGTGCAAGACAGGGGCTTGCTTGGAAGAATTTCACAATCTAGAAATAAAAGAAAAATATTTTGTAAGTAGGATTTGAATCCTTTCTCCATCATTCATAGTTTTGTAATCTTGAGCAAGGTAACTTAGCTTCTCTTGTGTCTTAGTTTCTTTAGCTGTAAAATCGCAGTGATGATTGCCTGTCTCGTAGGGAATTAACTTAGTAAAGACAAGTAAAACTTTAGGTTAACAGCAAATAGGAAACACTCAAATGTTAGCTATTATTAGTAGTAGACTTGGAAGGGACTTTAAAGATTGTCGACTGAAAGACCAGTGTGGGGTAGTAGCTGGTCTTGGGGTCATGGTGCTGGTACTGGTACAGTACCAACATGGCTAACTGTAAGCGGCCCTTGTCAAGTCAGTTGACTTCTTTTGGCCTCATTCTTAGTTCAGTAAGAGTAATGGGTTGAATGACCTCTATAAATGCTTTCAGCTTTTACATTTTATGAGTTCATTTTTGTGTTTTTCCTTTTTTTTTTTGCCTGTTTTTCTCCTCGCTTTTGACTATTTTCTCAATAGATCCATGATCAGAGTTCAAAATGGAGGAAGCATCTGTCTAAGACAGTCACTGTGAAAATTGGTAGGAAGGAGGAAGATTGGGACACCAGTTTGGCATTTGAAAGTCTCCCATCTTTTAACCTATCCAGCGTATTGAGCTCAATTCCTTCTCCTACATTCTTTAGACCAGAATGCTTTCTTCCTTCCTTCTGTACCTGTGTTTGCCACATAGTAAGACTCTATTCACACATTCAAGAAAACTTTGAGCCTACTATGTACAGGCATTGGGAACTCAAAATCAAATGAGAAATGGTCCTTGATTACATGTTTGAAAGAATAAATCCAGACCCTGCTCATCCCAGCCTCTATGAATGATGCTCTTCTGATAATTCCTTATTGGAATCTTTAATGTTGGGACCTGATTAGTGTTAGAATTATACTCTTCAAAATTTAGATACGGACTGTGAATTCTTTTTGAGGCAATGTTGAGAATGCAGACTGTCATTATTCTGGCTTTGCTATATCTCAGTATTTTGACTTATCAATTGATTCTCCTCAATTCTTATACATAGTTTAAAAATAAAATCTCTTTAACTCGTAGAGTTCTATCCAATTAGTACTGTTAACTAACAACAGCAGTAAATCTAAATCTTAAACTTCAAAACAGCAACAACAAAAATCTTGGCCACATCAGTAAGGTGACACATGAGATGAAGTTCCAGAGGAGCTGTATAGTATCTCTCCAATTTAATACTGTTCTATGAACTTCTCATTGCTTGAGGGGAAAGAGGAGAGGATGTGGTTATTTTTTGTTTCCAATTGCAGGCATATTTTTAAAAAACACAAAATTGTGGAGATACAGTACAAATAACACTTTTAAATGAATCATTTGAGAGATCTGTTTGCTGACCTGATGCCCCATCACCCGTGAACAGCTTTCCCACAAACAAGGACATTCTTCTATATAACCATAATATAACTTCTAATATCAGAAAATTAACATTGTGTAACTATCTCTAATCCTCAGGCCCTGCTTCTCCATGCTTGGGCACTGACTCCCATTCTGGATTGCCCCAGTGTGTGGACACCCTCATCACCCTACTTCTTCCCACACTGGGTTGCTCTTCTTTGCAGATTTCCTCCTCACCCAGCATAGGCTATGACCCCACTCTGGGCTTCCATTCCCTTGACACACCTCCCATTCCCACTCCCACACTATACTTCCCTTGCTCTGTCCTTTGTTTGGGGAAGGAGGTGGCTAATACCTGGGTCCCTATTACTTCCCTGCATATACAGTTGTTTAAAATATTTAAGTAAAATGGAATGCTTAAGGAAGATTTTCTGTTTCTAGAACTATTTCAAGGCAACTCCATGTGGTGTACCTCAGTCCTTGTCAGTAGTCTACAAATGTGGTCCTATCGAACTAGACTTAGATTTATCTCAGTGTTTTGTAAACTTCTAAAGAGTAGCAGAACTGTTTTTTCCAAATGAAATGTTACACGGAAGCTTAATAGGTAAACCAGATCAAAGCTTAAGTAGGCCCTCCTATTAAAGGTAGGGCCTTCCTTCTGTAACCTGCACTCCGCCTTGCTACCATGGCCCACTCCAAGCTGGGAAGGCAAGTGAGAATCAGCAATAATCAACCTCTGCCTAATTACTAGGTAGAGGCTCCTAGCTTCCCAACTGCTCTGTGGGGGGAGGTCTCTCCTAACTCTGATTTCTTTGGGGTGGTGCTCCCCCACCTTCAGTAAGGAGGCATTCCTCTGGTTGGTTGGCTTAGGGCCCTACTTTGGCCTTCTTGACCCTAGATATTTTAGAACTGACTTTTTAAAAATAAACTTGAGTTAGCTGAGGAGCTTCTGGATAACCACCATACCTCCTAGGCAGGTTTTTTTCTAGGTATTTTATTATTTTTGATGCAATTGTAAATGGGATTATTTCCTTAATTTCTCTTTCTGATAGTTTGTTGTTAGTGTATAGAAATGCAACAGATTTCTATGTATTATTTTGTATTTATGTTAATTTTGTGTTCTTTAACTTTGCCAAATTCATTGATGAGCTCTAGCAGTTTTCAGTGGCGTCTTTAGGATTTTTTTGTGTATAGTATTATGTCATCTGCAAACAGTGACAGTTTTACATCTCCCTTTCCAATTTGGATTCTTTTTGAATAACTGCCATAGAACCCTAGATTTCTACAGCATATAATTTGAAAAATATTTAATTACATTTAAAAAAAAACAGCAACCCTTTACAATCTTGAAATTGTAAGCCTGTTACTGTTATATAACAGGATTTCTCTCAAAAATGCATGGCAGTTTCCTGCTTGAAGAATTGCATAGGGTTTCTCAGGCTGCTGTTCTACAAAAGGAGCAAATAGGAGAGCTTTAAACTTAGCTGTTCATACTATTATCACAGCAAAAATCTGTAAGAAATAACTTGAGATGGTATTGCTCTTTCCACGACCTTTGTTTAGAGAAGAACAGTTGATAGACTAAGTGGTTTGAGCTTAATTTATATGTCCTAGCTGCTGTTGCCTCTGTGGATTCTGTGTCTCACTAGTGCTCCAAGATTTGGAGGTATAATTAAGGTTTCTTAATAGAGCTATTGGCTTCAGGTTAATAATCTTTGTTCTGGGATATGAGGTGAAGGATGCTGGGCAGAGGGAAGAGAAGGACTAGAAATGAGACTGCATAGCCGGGAAGTAGATGAGGCAGGATCCAACCATGCTGTGAAACGTGGATTTAACCTGTTTACCAGTCACTTCTCAAGAACTGACAAGTCTGCCTTCATTCTATCTGTGTGCTATTAATAAAGTAATAAAACCCACCTCTGGCTGACCTAAACAGAAAAGGGCAAGTTTATTATGAGGATACAAGGTTGTCTTATGGAACTCAAAGACAGAGATGTTCCTGGGCCTTGGGAACTAGGGTTTGGAAGGCTGACAGAATTTTCTTCCATTTGTTTTAAGTGAGGCAGTTAAGTTAATGGATGGTCATTGTAAATCAGGAAGACTTTGCAAAAGTGTGACCTGGAGTAATCATCTGAAGGTGAGGGTTGCACTCAGAGTTGAGGAGAGAAGGAAGTATTTGCTTATGAAAACCCAAGGAAAATGGAGTTTCAGGTCTTATTGATGTTAAGTGTAATTGAGAGGAAAAAGAGATTTGAGATTTATCTTTAAGTAGCAGTGATTTATCCAGCAGAGTAGATATATCCAGCAGAATAAAGGCATATGGGTAAGAGCTACTAGATTGCTAGTTTCCTCTCTGTTTAAAACCAGGAGGCTGAGTATCTCTAGGGTCCCTTCCAACTCCAGAGCTCTAAGACTTGCTACCTAGGCAGCATCAGCATCACCTGGGAGCTTGTTAGAAATGCACACTCTCAGGCACCACCTAGACCTACTGAACTGCAGTCTGCATTTTAACATGATTTATAAGTAGTTACATAAATTTGATGTATCCAATAGTGATTATTATATAGGCATTAAAAAGGTGTGTGTAATTGGCTTTATTTGACCCTCTTCTTACCTGAAAATTTAATTAAGTCCAGTCATATGCTGTTAACTGTTCCAGTTTCAGTGGAATGTTTTGTTTCTGGTTCATTATAACAAGAAGTGGTTTTCTCAAATTCAAAAAAAAAAGTGTGTATATTTGAATAGCTAAAATATGATAAGAAAATGGCTATTAATTAATGATTATTAATGGTTTCATGATTCCATTAAAAAGACACTTGCACATATAAAAAAGTCTGAAAGAATATAAATCAAGTTGAATTATAGATGATTTTCTTTCCTTCATTATTAATGTAGTATCTGAACTTTTAAAATGAGCATATGTGTCTTTAATTTTATTAGGGAAAAAAGTAACCTGTGTTATCTTTTTGAAGTCACTTCAGATTCGACACCTAGCATAGTGGTTAAAATTGTGGACTCTGATGTCAGCCAGAGTTTGACTACCATTTCCTGACTTTCTGACATAGGCCTAATAAGCTGGCCTCTGGAAGCCTTGGCTTTCTTGTCTATACAATATTATAGTAATAGAACTACATCTTGAGAGTTTTGAGGATTAAATGAGATATTGGATGTCCAGTGCTTAGCACAGGGCCTGGACATTGTAAGTGCTTGATAAGTGTTAGCTTTGTTACTATTATTATTGCTTTTTTAAAGACTCATTCATATACACACCCCAAATGCCTTCCCTTGGCAAAAGAATAGCAATGATAGCAATTAAAAACCAGAAAAAACAAAACAAAACAAAACAGTAGGTTAATGGCTTTGGGTAAGTATCAAACTGAAAAGCAATAAGATCAAGGTTTCCAAAACTCCCTCCAATACAGTGGACAAAAGAGATTTGGATAAAAGTACATGGGGTTAAATCTAATGGTGTGTCCTGTAGAGACTACCTATGGATTGTCAGCACATTTCTTCTTTTTTTAAAATTTATTTTTTATTTATTTTTTGGTGGGAGGGAGGTAATTAGGTTTATTTACTTACTTACTTACTTACTTACTTACTTACTTATTTATTTATTTATTTAATGGAGGTTCTGGGGATTGAACCCAGGACCTCATGCTTGCTAAGCACAGAGCTCTACCACTGAGCTATACCCTCCCCCCAGCACATTTCTTCTTTATTGCAAATGTCTCTCTTATTGTTGCCTGTCTTATTTCTTTGTGACAGGACACTTGAATTAGCTTTAGCAGAAGAGAAATGGAGGAACCATAGAACATTAAGGATGAATTCAGGAAGACCCGATACCATGGAGAATTTGCCTGCTCTCTACACTATTTTCCAAGGAGAGGTATATTCTTTTGGCTTTGAAAACCTACTACTTATATTAAGCATAGATTAAGGGTGGAAAGCAGCTGGGTTTGGAGCTCCTGTCCACTTGAATGACTTGAACATTACAGTTTAGATAGGAAGGGCTAGGAGAACATCTGTTTCCCACATGTACCTCCTCTAAGCTCCAGACTTGTAACTGCACGCTTGGCATCTTCATTTGTATACCTTCCAGCATCTCTAACTTATGTTTTAAACTGAATTTTTGGTTTTCTCACCAAATCTGTTCTTCTGGTCTTTTCCATCTCAGCAAGTAGAACCACTATCCATTCAGCTACCTATGCTAGAAATCTGGATACCATCCTCAATTTCTTTTCTTAATTTGATCTTGTTTCCCTCCCTCTCCAGTCTCTTAGCAAGTGCTAGCATTTCTACCTCCCAAATAAGTCTCTTCTGTCTATACTTCCTTATCCCTATGGCATCTCATTAGTTTAAGTTTTCGATCTCTTGCCTGAGCCTTCTTCAGCTCTCTACTTCTTTTGTAGTCCCCCTTCAGTCTGTTTTTCCACATTGCAGCCAGAATAACATTTTAAAAACAGTTTGGACCAAGCTACTTTCTTGAAGCTCTTCTAGGCTTCTTATTACACTTGAATACATCCAGACTTGTTCTCATGACCCTTCCCGAGCTGGCTTCTGCTTACGCTGGACAATGTTGTTTTGTTCCACTCTTCACATACTCTGGCTACTCTGGCCTCCTTGTAGCTCTGAACATGCTAAACTTGCTTCCTACTCAGGACTTTTGCACATGCTGTTGTTTCTCACTGCCCTACTTTCTCACCAGCTTCTCTTCATCTTTTAGGTCTCAGCCCTAGTGTCATCTCCTCAGAGATCTTTTTCCTACCATAAATAAATAGACTCATACTGTATTAATTTTATACTTGTTTGATGTCTTATCTTCCTCACAAGACAGTAAGCGCCATGAGGGCAGAGCCCCGTCTGTTTTGTTCACTGTTGTATATCTCAGTCCCAGGCAGGTGAGTAGAAAATAGTAGGTGCTCAATATGTCTTTGATAACTAAATGAATGACAAGCGTTTGAGGGAGAAGGCATAGTATTTGTTTAGAGAGCAGAGGCTTTGTAACCGGACAAAACCTGGATTCCAGTCCTAGCTCTTTCACTTACCAACTGTGTAATCCTTGAGATCATCAATTTCTTTGAGCCTCAGTTTTCTCATTTGTTAAATGGAGGTAAAAACAACTTTCATAGGATTGTGATGATGGTTAAATAAGCTAACATCTATAAAAACACTGTGCCTGAGACATAGTAGGAATTCATTGTTATCTCCCTTCTTTTTTTTTTTCCTCAGAGACCCTCTCTCCCTTCTCTTGAAGCAAAAGTAAAGCTAAAAAATTATTTTCAGTGTGTTGTGAGTGCCTATAGTATTTTAACTGTTATCATTCTTATAGCATTGATACTTGCTTTATGGTTGACAAAAGTTTAACCACCTAATAATGTGAGGCCTTTGAGGACAAGAGTTTGACAGTTGGTTATACATATTGTGGCTCTTGACTTCTGTTAAGTGGATCCCAACTCGTAATGATTAAGATACAAAAGATGATAACACTATAACAAATAGCAAACAGCTCTGCTCTTCAGAGCCTCTGTCTTCTTTCTTTAGGACGCATGGTATCCCCAAAGGTTAGCGAGGTACCAGGGCTCAGGCGAAGGAAATGGTAGCACTGGAAATGAAATAGATTTTTCTGATCATGAAGCCCTCACTTGTCAGGTGCTACACAAAAGAAAGAAGAGCTCTCTGCCCTCTGCAAACTAACTCAGTAGTTCCTGACCTGTCTCATATGAGATGGGGCTTGAATTAGTGTAGGTTTTATATTTTACTGTCAAGGGTGGATGGGCTACAGTAACGTTCTGAAAGAACTTTATAGTTCTAGTGCTAGAACTATAGTTCTAGTATTTCAGGAGCACGTTTTGAAAAATGTTTAGAAGTGACTGGAACTGGGGAAAGAGAAATTTCATGATAAATTGAAAAGAAGAAGCTATTTTTCAGAATATTCGTCCAACATTCAGTGAGTGCCTAATATTTATAAAGAAGACCTGGTTACATTAAAATTCAAAAAAAATTTTGTAAGCCTAATGTATGTCAGCACTTTCACACATTATGGGTCCTTGACTCTCTCCAAAGAAATTGCTAACCCCATTTTATGGATAAGGAAACTCTTCTCAGAAGTTAAGTAATTGCCCAAATGGTTAATAAGTGGCAAGTTCTAAATCAGGTTCTCCAGCTCTGTAGCTGGCATTGTTCAGCTATTTATAAATGCATGGAGGAACTGAAAGACCCAGAATTTTGACTGAATTGGGGTAGTATAGGAGGAAGGTAAATGGTAAACCGGATTATTCCAGAGTCATTTGTTTGTACCTGTCATGACATTTATCATAGCCTGTCTTGGACGATTGTCACTTATATATGTGTCTGTCTCGTCTACTAGAGTGTGTGTTACTGGAGAGCAGAGGCCATAGTTATCTCATGTATCTTGATAACTAATTCAAATTCATTTAAAACCTTTTTTAAGTTGATTCTTTTTCACAGTGCCTGACATGGTATCTTGCATATAGGTGTTCAGTAAGTATTTGAATTAAGTTGAATCTAAACCTCTTAGGACCAGTTGCCTTTGAAGAAACTGGTGGTACAGCTTGTATCCTAGCAGCTCTTCTCTTAGCAGGCTCAGCAGGGTTGGGGGGCCAGAGACTGAATAGCTGAGACACCAATAGTCATCTTTCTTTTGTCTTCTGAGAGGCATCTTGGTGCTGGAGTCTGTTAAGCATGTTAGTGTGATTTGGGACTTGGCCTAGCCCAGCCATAGCCAAAGAAATGCTGAGGGGAGATTGGTGTTGGCAAGTTGGAAATAGCCTTGCACTAGAAATCAGAAAACTTCTGTTCCATACCTGGTCATAATACTTTCTAACTTTGTGACTTTAGACAAGTAGCTTATGTCTCTGAGCCTCAGATTCCTCATTTACATTATGGGGATAACTAGTTTCAAGGCCTGTACAACCTCTAATCTGAAGATGGTAAATTCGTTTTGCCGAAACACTGAGTTTAGTTGAGATAGTTACTGAACTTTTTCCCTTGAGCTATTTGATTAATTATTCTTGGGACACCAGGCAGACTCTGTGATCATCTAAGGCAGATGCCTTTCTGTTAATTTTGAATCTGTCTGCACCCTAGGAGACACAGTGATGGAAACACCTGGTGCTGGAAATAGGCAAGGATGTGTTTTCCTCACTGAGCAGTTGAATGCATCCATTCTGGAGCACATTACCCTTCCTTTGGGGAGAGGCCAAATGACATTTCCTCCTAAGATCATAATGTGACACTGGGGCTTCAGGATTGAAAAGTGAGATTGTCTTAATTTACAGCAGTAAGGGGATTTGGGCTCCAACTTCCAGGTGCTACTTTTAAGTTGTTTAGATAATTATGCCCTTAAATAAATGTAGTTATGCAATATGAAGCATTTCAGCCCTCTTTCTAGAACAAGAGTGCCTTTAGTTGGTCCAGAAAGGAAGGATTTTCTTTCATTGTAATTTAAAAATTTAAGTCTCATCTTCTTTATAGATGTGGCCCTGTTTTACAGGGAACAGCTTGCTTTGTTAACTTGGATAAGTATTGGTCTTCACTTTCCTCATTTGAAAAATGACAGGATTGGACCAGTTAATCTCTAAAGTCTTTCCTCTATTTCCACCTTGCCTTGATCTTAGGTACTAGTATCTGCCTGGTTGTACTGTTTTTGGGGAATATCTGGTCCCTGCACTGGCATAGCATATTCATCATTGTAAAACAGGAGTTTAGAAATTTGGGGTTTTAACCCATTCTTTTTTTTTTTTAATTGAGGTATAGTCAGTTTACAGTGTTGTGTCAATTTCTGGTGTACAGCACAATGCATCAGTCATACATGAATATACTTTTTTCATATCTTTTTCACTGTAAGC